CCCGAAAGAGCATTGATGAAACTTTGAAGACAACTATTGTTGAAAGACTAAAAAACGTGCGAGAGAAAAGAAAGTCACTTCCATTGAAGAAATCGTCAAAAGTAAATAAAAAAGTACAACTATAAAAGTATTCTTCCGAGAAGGAACACTATAAAAAGCCACGTCTTGCTGGTGGCCTTTCCCTCTCTAAAGATCGAATGCTTTCATGAGATGTCATTCAAAGTTTTCACGGAAGAGATAAAGCTGTACGCGTGTAACCGGACTGACATGAAAGCTACAGAAGAGTTTATCAGTCCGACTAAAAACGGTCGAGGGCTGGATAAATTAGAAAAAAAATGTTGCCAAAACATTGATCCAGGACTGAATATAGACCATATGTATGAGATAGACAATTTGGATGAATTTTCGACTTGATAAAAAGCCTAGATAAAAAATGTATGACGAAGGAGGATGAAAAACGGGTAAATAGGAAAAAGCGAGAAGCTAGCAAGTCTTCCCCATGTCCCCTTTAACACAGTTTTTTAGGGCTCATTTCCACCCCTCCCCCTTTATACCTACTAAGTAGACTACTTAATTAAATATCTCTTGCGTTCCGCTGGAGGCAAAATTGGCGTTGAAAAAATTTGTTTCTCATATGATTAATGGGAAACAGTGATTTGAATCCCCAATAATGTCTCCTATGGTCTACCCATGCCCCTACCAATTCCACGAATCAGTGGATCACACCTCCCGTGTTTGTGACATTTTATATCGATTTCCTTTTGAAAAAAAGAAACGTATTTCTCTCGGTCACGTGGGGCATAGTTTGGTAAAAAAACAAGGGGTGGGTATATGATTAGGATGTATTAAATAGCTTTAAAGTTTTTCTCAGATGGATCGGAACCCATTTGGAACACTTCCAGGCTCCAGTTGTTCAAATGTAGGATAGCGCTATCCAACGGATAAACTCATTATCCAGCGGACAAGTGTTGGGGAAACCAATTGCGCTATCCAGTGGATAGCGATTTAGACCTGTTCAGTGAAAGCGTTATCCAGCTTTTGAACAACTGGGGCCAGTACTCTAGATTTACTTTGAGCCAACTCTTGCATATCTGGAAGGAATTTCTACCATCTTGTTCTATGAATAAATCATCATAATGGCTTTTAGTCTGCATTCAAACATTTTTAAGGCACTAGTAAATTGGAACCTCGATATAATGAAGGGCCAAACAACTGGCAAAACATCAGTCACCACTGCGACGAGGCCTGGAAGTTCTTTTCCATGTAGACTATTTTACTATCATATCGTTCGTTATTCTGAAGTCATCGTTATATATACGAAGGTTCCACTGTAGTCACTGTAGCACTTTTATTGGAGAAATTATGTTTAATTAGTTGTTCGTGGAATTTAAGGTGAGGTTGTTATGACTTTCACCCTTTCTGTTAGAATTTTATACGAATAAAACAAATTATCAACATTTCCCGCAATATGGTAAAAAAATAAATATATATTATTTTATATTCATGTTCTCAACGCGTTTACAGTGAGGTGTTACGATTAAGTTTATGATTGGTGTTGTGTGAAGACATGGCGGTAGCATGCGAATGCAGACGTTTTTCTGGTCGTCGCTTCGTTTCCCCTGAGAAGTTACTTTTCGGACTAGGCTAGAACAAACGTTGATCTGCACATCCAACGAACAAAACTAACAAATCAAAAATTTGGGTGGTAATGAATATTATTTTGGCCTTGTTCGGGAGAAAATTTATTACTGATCTGATTGAGTTGATTGGTTTGACGCGTCCTAAGTTTGATGTGTCACCCAACAGATGATCTTAACTTAATTTAGGTAGACCCAAACAAAACAGAGTCTGGTACGTCTCATGAAAAGTTTGACTTTTGCCCTAGGCCCAACATAGCTGTCATTCTACTAAAAGGCCAGACATAACGTCAAAAATAAGCACTAGCCTGACTGGCCACTTGACCTGTAAGCAGACTTTATTATTAAATTATCCATGATTAGCTATTAATATTAGTTCCACCAGAAGCTGACTGAGAAACTCAGAGAAAGTGACCTAACATAATGCCAATGATAAGGTGGAATATACAACATCTGTCCTTCCTTCAGGATACACTCCTGATAAACAGCAGATGAAAATTCAGGAAATGCAATCAAGTCTGGATTTTCGACATCCACCTGAAAAAAAAAAAAAAATAAATAAATAAAAATAGAAAAGCTGTCACCCCAACCGGGGGACTGAGAAGTGAATTACATATCAGGTATTGGATTAATTAACAAAGAACACATTTTGAAGTGCACACAGTGTTTTTTTGCTTCATCAATGCATGAAAAAAAATGTTTGTGCATGTTTCAGAGCCTAAGAATGAAGCACCGTTTTAGGCAGGTGGGTGTTGGGATGTCCTGTGGTCACCTAGTTTGATCTTTTTTTCCATGTTGGTTTCAATACTGCCAGGTTGAGGAGGGGGACATTACGGTTTACAGCATTGCGGTATTTTAATTTTAATGTGTGGTATTGCAGTATCATTGAGCCCCGCGGTACGTGGTTTTTCATTCTTTTGGCTGACGGTATTTTGTAAAAGAAGATGCTTCACGGTATTTTGGTACCGTCCATTTGCCCCAATCCCCCTCATTGAGAGTTGGGGTGAATGCCTGGTTTATTTACTTAGGTTCACAATTCTTGGCTGTGTCACTGCAACAGCACTTGACACTAAGTACTGTGGTCCCTTAACAGACCCTTCCTCAATGCCGGGTTTTCAATACGAGCTGGTGGCCAGCGAAATTTGCCAGCTATTTCTCGTGATCTTGCCGCCTACTTTTCTTTGGAAATTAACCCAGTTTAAATTGAGTATTCATATGCTGTAACTGAATAAAAAAGCCAAAAATTAATGATGTCTGTGTTCTGTTCAAACACTAATTTTTGCTCTAGAATGCTGGAAAAGCATTCTAAGAGGCCCAAATTTAAAAATTTTCCAGAAACTTGCACTCGCAAGTCGTGCCTTTGCCATGAGTTTTTTCCTTCTCCACCTACTCAAAATCTTATCAAAACCCTGCCAATGAGAGATAGACCACCACATGTCCCCTACCGTTTATGGACAGTGTGTGGCTATTTCAACATCCCAAAAAATTCATTTGTGCAAGGATTGTGAGACAGGGCCTACAGTTTATCATCCTTCTCCAAGAAGAAAGTGTAGCTGTCAGCAGATGTCTTTTTAAAGGCAGCACTTTCTCCTCAGTTAGTTTAAGACCCTGAGTGTCGGTCTGGCTGGGGTTTGAACCAGCAGCATCCCGCTTGGTAGACAGGCACTTATCCAATGAGCTAACAGGGAGATGGTCATATCCTACAATCGGCAACAAAATTATTTAAGACACTTTGCCCTCCCCCAACCCTTCCATGCAATGTTGTGCCACTGTTTGAGCCACCTGTATGGACAAAATGAAGCATCTACAGAAAGCAGTGTGCTTGAATGGACGGAAAGGGGGAGGGGTGTGGATTTTTTTGCTCTCCAAAGTTACCCCATTTGAGGACAATGTCTCAACAATTTTGTGACTGATTGTAGCTTTAACTCTGAACCGAATGGGTGCTGTACCTATCTCCACCTGTTCCTACACCAATGGTGGTCACTTATGAGAGCTGGTGGTACTTGTAATAAGGAGTTATTTAATACCTGGCTTGTGTTATCCAGTAGCGTAGACTTGTGAGGATACAACTTGTCTGATTCAGTCTTAGAATACAAGCGTAAATACTTATCACCAACAACTTGCGCTAACAGGTTGTGATAGGGGTCATGATGCATTGGAGAAATGGTACCTCTGGGCCCAAACCAAGCATTAATTATAACATCATTATCACTGTCACCAAGGCAACAGTAATCAGGTGTGATAATATCACGTCTTAATTCTGGTATCTGATCAAATAACTGATGCTGAGCTAGATAAGCAATTTTTGAGTCCTGACCACTCTCAACTGGATTAACATAATTATCAATAAAATCTGCAACTGTCATTAATTTTTGTGTCCAGGTGTCATCCGTGTATCGAGAACCCAGCTCAACAGGCACAGTGCGACAACCAGCAATGCTCTTAAGATACTTTATGCTCCAATGATGAGTTGTTCTGGCAGGCCAATGATCCATTACTCCCTCAAGAATAACTGGTTTGTCTTTCTGCATGTAGTTTATTAAAAATGCTTCTAGTGATGGGCAATGGACATGATGAATTTCAAACTTCTTATCAATCCCTGGTATTTCAAAGCTTTTTCTTTTCTTTACAGAACTGCTCCCTGTGAATGCTTCACTTTGTTTATTAACATCGTTACTTATTTTCCTTTTCCCACAAGCATCTTCAGTATGAGCAACTCTTAAATCTTGTTGTTTGCAAAGATTTTGCTGTCTTTCTGCTTGGTGATAAACAGACCCGTCATCATTCACCCTTTCGCTGTATGGATGAACAATCTTTTGAAACTCAGTTGCCATCCTTGTTAAAATGTTGTCCAATATGGGTGCACCTAAGAGAAGTCCCATGTCGCAAGCTTTCATGGCCTCTGTCTTCCTCTCCATACTGTGAAGACAGAGAGC